CACACACGCATGTGCCCTGATCCTGGCTGGCTGAGGCTGGGTTAGGATGGAGGCATGAAGACCCTTTTGGGGATTCTTTTCTCCCTCTTTCTGTCAAGAAATAAAGAAAAAACAAAAACACTGCTCTAGAAAATAGGAGACAGATTTCTATTAGTCGACAATCTCCAAAGTTATTAGTTTGCTGAAATAGTCTTCACAGAATAAGAAACTTCCCTCCTGTTTATCTGAACTACAAGTACAACCTCAGACTTCAGAACAGAACCTGGTAGAATCTTTTCCTCACTGGATCACTAACTCATATCTTAGATTCTAAGATGATGTTTTTCACATGTTAGTATCGCTGAGTTCAAGATGTGTCAGTGGCATGGGCGACCAGCAGTTAGCGTAATGGTTATGTCGCTGGACTCCCACGTAGTCGGCCGAGGTTCCAGTCCCGGACCTGGTGGCTTAAACTCACGCCGGGCGCATGTGCGTGCATGCCCAAGATCCCCAGAGGAGAATGGAGGAGAAGGGATTGTGGCATGGCCATCCCACCTGGGGGGTGATTTCTCTCTGTCTCTGTCTGTCTGGCGCATGTGACCTATAGCAAAAATCTCTCCAAAAAAAGAAAAAAAAAATCAGTGGCATGGTATAGTTTAAATGGCAACTTCTTTGTTTTCTTGGGTAACATAAAATGGTGAGTTTAAAAGTCCATCTCTTTAGACCTGCTATGAAATATGTTAATAATGACTATACAGGTCAAATTATTCCTATTCATTTCAAAGTATTCCTCTGATCAGAACACCTTTTGACTTCTTGTCAAGAAAATGTAAAGAGGTGAGAATTGCTTAATTCTGGCTAGAAGATTAAGTTACAGTCTGAGTTCAATTTTTATTTTATTTATTATTTTATTTTTGGGGGGAGGTTTTTGCTATAGGGTGTGTGTGCTAGCCAGAGAGAGAGAGAGAGAAAGAGACAGAGACAGAGAGAAAGCAAGCAAGAAATCACTCCCCCAGGGAGGATGGCCAGGCCATAATTCCTTCTCCATCTCCTCTCTGGATCTTGGGCTCGCATGTCCGGGACTCAAACAGCGGTAGACTACATGGGAGTCCAGCCACATAGCCATTATGCCAACTGCTGGTCCCTGAGTTCAATTTTTTCACCAAGCTTTTTCATTTGCCTTTATTTTAGCAGGGTTTGAGAATAATCTTTATGATCTCTATCTCCCTTCTTCATGCGTTTTTGTTTGCTTCTTTTGGTAACCAGAGTGCACCATTTCCATCTCAACAGAGTGGGAGGGAGAGTTCCTTGGATCATGGTTAAAAAGGAAGGCAGGAGGTTAAGTCCAGGACTTAAAAAAAAATTGAGAATTCAGCTTTATTTTAAAAATGGAACAAACTGCCAAATTCCCATGTATCTGTTTAAACTGCCACCACCGACCTAACTGTATAACTTTGTGACTGTAAAACTGGCACGAAGGATCCTCGAACATGACTAGGAACAAAAATAAGCTTGCTAGGCTATTTTCATCTCAGTGTGATTGAAATACACCACCGTTTCCTCAGAAATAAAAATCTAGGAAAACAGTAAATTAAACGCCACCATTAACGTGCTACTAGAAATAGGCACGAGTGGTTACTGAATGCTTTTCTAAGTCAGACATTACACACCACGATACCTTCTTTTTTCCTTTGGCTAAAACTTTGACCGAGCCCAAGGCTGGGGACGCGGGTCGCACGCCCGGGCCCACCGGCGCTACTGCGTGCAGGTGACGAAGGTGAGAACGGGCCCGGGCGCCCGGTCCGCAAGGCCTGGCAAGCCAGCAGGCGCGGGGTCGGAGGAGGTGGGTTCGCATCCCGAAGCTGCCGTTGGGCCTACGGGGGCGGGAGGG